AGTAAAATGAGTTTTTTTTACTCGACTTCTCTTTAGCTGTTCTCGATGGAACTGAAACAAGTACATTGAACTTTTCTATGCGCGATAACTGCTCGTGCAATCACATATTATTATTTCTAACTTCAGCATAGTGCTTCTCTAATAGTCTGTTTTACCGCTTGTCTTATTTCACTAATCTTCCAGCAGTAAAGAAACGGGTTTAATGTCGAGTTAAAGTAAACTGAGAGAACTGCTACTTCCCATATTACCATCAAGTGTGATGAATGTGTTTTACGGCGATCGATTACAATTGCCATTATAGAGTATAGTGCATAACAAACTACTAATACTAACTGCACCCACAGAGCGCTGTACAATCCCTTTTTGTATCGCACCATGTTCAGTGCATTTGATTGGCTCGGCTGTTGTTGGATATGATCTTGTACTTGAGCCTGATGATGACTGAGACCCCGAAAAATTTTTATATACGAGGCCACTGAAATAACAAGGCAAGATGGTATAGCTACATGGCCATACCAAATGGTTATACGGTAATCTAATGTGTAGCATAAAGCAGCGACACTAGATACAATCCAAAAGGTAACTACGATGATGTATGTGCGCTTCAAAGTTACAATTTCTCTGTATCTTAGCCTTAACAGCAGGGCGAGGAGCCTGTCCACGCTTATGGCCGTTATTGTCATCAAAGACACTCCACATAATGCATAGGCTGTGATGTAGGCTGCGTCAAACGCGTATCGACAAAGACTCCAGTGTTCCTGGCCCACGGACATCCAGTAAATAGCGTAGAGAGGCTGGCTGACGAGACCAACCAAAAGATCAGTTGTTGCCAGACAACGATACAAGAGTTTGGACGGCGGATGAAGGGAAGATTCTTTTTGAAGGGCAAAGAGGATAAGAAAGTTCCCAAGAGATGCTGTGATGGAAAGGAGAATGTAGATTGCTAAGAAATAAATTTCAAATTCTTTTTGAAGCACACCCACCAGAAGGGGGGAGCAATGTAATTCTTGAATTGTTATCGCTTGTGTTCCACCTCTACTGAAGTTTGTTGTCGACATTGTTCTGTATTCGTTTCCTTTTTCTTGGACTGGGGTTATCTGCGATTGCCACGAGAAATATTTCGTCTAAACAGCAACATAACGACGATCATCGAAAACTTACTCAGTTCCTACATAATAATCATATAAAGACTTCCTCATCATCGTTTACTCGTTTCATAAACGTCACAAAGAAAATTGTCTGTTGTGTCAAAAATCCTATACCTGTCGATTTAACTTGTCAGCTACTTCCCGTATGAAATGGAAATAAGAGAGAAATTTATCAAAATACCCTTAACATGACTATTCTTCATGTTTCGACCTACTATTCCTCTTTATTAAGCCTACGGGCAAGCACTCATTATATCATTAACGCTTCACTAAGAATTACTTGGCTAAGTCGTGAATAAGTTTGAGGCCTTAAGCAGCAGGACTCGTGGCCGAAGGAGCGACGTGTACGAAACAGAGGTGAAAGAGCTACAAAAGGTAATCAATTACACAGTTGAATTCAAATTTTTTAAAAGAAGTTTGCATCTGTGTCCATACATTAATTTTAAATCATTTTATGCATTCGAACACCTGGACTGATTGACATAGCTTGGACATCCTTAGCTAGAATCTTCTATAGTTTTAGCTTGCTTAGACTGATAGTGTTTCAAGGCTCAACTTTACACATATGTTATGGACATTTGATTGACACTCTATCAATGAAACTAGGTCAGCTTGCTAGGTGGTCTTCGTTATTAGCATAGCAGCACTGCACCCGACAACACTAGAACAAAACCAAAGGAGAGCAAAGAAATTACGCGATCAGACAATTTCAGCCGTTTCTTTCTTTTACATTCTCTACTTGTTCTCTAAATTCCTTTCTCCAACAAATTCTAAGGGATTGTCTTGGATATTAGTAAGCCTCTTATAGCTTTGTTAGATCATTTCTTTTCTTCCAACGTCTTGTCTGCGAAGAGACTAGTAAAATATTTTATTATCAAACAAGCTTTCAGGCATCCGGCAGGTGACTTAGTTCTTCATATTGTAATTCCGTCGAGCTGTTGGCAATTGTCCTCTGATGATAAAAATTTTTTATGACAATGCTAAAGTGAACATGATAATCTATTGATCGAGAAGGAAAATCCAGGAAGGGATAACTTTATCATTTATGAAACTATGATCGCTCTTGGCTACGTCTTCAGAAATTCTTGCGCAACTTTTCATTTCTCCAGATTTCCTGAGTGCTTCATAACTCAGCGATACTACAGAACAAAACGTCTAATGAGATTTAGTATATACACACTCAGTGATATTGGCGTTTCAAGCAATCTGATTGGTTCGCTATCTCGGGCTAATCAACAATGTACACCTCCGAGCGAGTGGATAATGTGAAAAACAAAATAGCGGGCGTAAACTCGCGTTCCGCTAAAGTTTCAGAAGCAGAAATTGCCTTTAAATGGCTTCCTTTTAATTTTGTTGAGATCACTTCGTGTGTATGTACTAAAACAATTATTCTTTTCAATCTCGATGAATAGTGGCATTCGGGAATATTTACCGAGCCGCGAAGCGGCAAGGTAAATATTTAGCCACTATTCACCTCGATTTCAAAGAATAATTGTTAAATATATATTGAAATCAATTTTGCCAACTTCAAGGAACGCGTTATAAACTGAATTTAAAGAAAAAGGTGTGGAGGTTGGGGACACTTAACCACTCGGAAGTGATAGACATAGAATCAAATATACCATATTAAGAACAACTGTCTAAAAACTGAATTAGCGATCTGCTGGATGTACTGCAACCTTTTAAATTTGAATTAATTAACTTATAAAGTTCAATATATTCCTCATTCCAATCCCTTTTCCCCGATAACACGTAATTTCACCAAATCGAGCGATGTAAAACTGAAGAAAACTCTGAAACAACAGGTTATAGTTAATTCTATTTCGTATTTGCGTTCATAAGTTTTGCATATTCATAAGTATTACGGACATTTTTCTGATATCAAAACAAACTCGAGACCTAACGTCCACCAATACAACTCGTTTGGCAATGTGGCGTCGATACCAAGCGCTTTCTTTAAGTTATATTAGGTAAAAAACGTTGAAATGTTTTTATCGTGACAAAGGAGTACCTCCAAAAGCTCTCTCAAACTACTATTTGAAGTTTTAGCCAATACTTTAATATTGCTACATGTGAAAAAAACTTGAGAGTAAAATTAATGCAGATCTTTCTTTCATTATGCCTTGCAATATTCATGATCATTGGTAGCTACCCAGCACAAAAAATGCTCTTGACAAGATATGGTAATTGTCTCCGATTGCCTTTCTTTCAGTTTTTTCCGTCAAAAAAAGCTACTAAGTGCACACAACAAGCCATTTTGATAATTTGATTAAATGTGAGAGCCCCACAGGGCTTTGCTTTACACAGAAATCAATAGTATTAATTGATGATTAACATAAATCAACTTTTAAGTCATAAAACAACGGGCAAAATATTGACAACGTAAAAAACCTAAATAAACAGGTAAAATATTCACAACAGACAAGGCACAAAGCGCGACCAACAATATAATTTGGGCTTCTTATTACTTCCTATCTAATAACATAATTTATTACACGACTCGGGCAGTCAGAGGGCCAATAACTAAAATCAATCAATCAAAATGCTCCATTGCCGGTCAATATTCTCTAAATATTGGACCGGGCACTGTCCCGAATGGTCCCAAATGACACCGCTCTTGTGTCCCTTTGAACTTCAGTCGTATAATAAATCTCTTATTAACCAAGCTTGCTCAGGACCGTACTGGAAGAATATCGGCCCCCGATCTTTTTTGTACGGACCGACGGTCCGTACTGTCAAGACCCCGGGCCGATATTCTCCCAGTACGCTCCTCGCGCTTGGCTAATAAGATATATTTACGAGCGTTGTCATGGGATAATTGTGACTTTGTGACTCTCGGCTTTGAAAAA